TAAATTCTTTCAATCTTCAACCTTCAGCGGACCATCTGCCCTTTTAGGTTAGGGTTTCGATCGAACCCGCCGATTATTGCATGCAGCTTGCCGCTGAAACCGAAACCGAAACCGAAACGTCTTCTCCGACAGCCGAGAGAATCGTCCCCGTTAATCCGGTTTATGTCCCCACGCCGGCAAATCGAGACACTCGAACTCCTCACAGCGGGTAGCTTTCTGTTCAGTTGTGTTCTATGAATTTGAATGAGTTAAGTTGAAATTTGGTAAATTTTTTATTCAGTTCGTAGTTTGACTTGGCTTTCGTCAGCACTTTTTTTCTATTTCATTTAAAATGATTAAAAAGTGAAGGTTATGAGCTAGCCTTGCTGTTAATTCATTCATTATGATTATCAATAAAAGGAGGGGGAAAACTATGATCGGTTTAAAAATGAATTATTTACAAGTAAAGCCCAAGACTTCAAAGAGAATTTATAGTATGTGCGTTTTAAAGCTTAAATTGTTCCATTTTTTTTATAAACTTTATTGAGTATACTGGAAATTGTTTTGCTATAGTCTAAATTACAGAATCTTTGAGGCTTTCATTAATGGCGATCAATTAACCAATGGCTCTGTAGTGCTTTATAATTGATGAAAGCTTTAGCTGTATAATACAGGTACCACTTCTATGGAACCACTCGACAATTTTTTGAGGGTTGGTACTTTAAGGCATCAATCCCAGAACGAAAACAAAGCTTTTGTTTCATGTACTCAGCGGAGAATCCTGCATTTAGGAGGAAACTGACACAAATGGAAATGCTGCTGCACGGACCTAGATTTACAGGGGTTGGGGCTCAAATTCTTGGTGCTTATGACAAGTATATATGCCAATACACTGATGCATCTCAAAACTTTTGGGGAAGTAAGTTTTTTCCTTCAGTGACTTCATCAGATTTTAATTTAAGATCTGATCTTATTATGGCCACCCATTGTTCGTGATTAATTATGTAGTAATGAAGCTGCATTCTATTGGACCTAAAAGTATCTTATTTAGTATAGTTGCTGCAGGAATAACACTTTGTTGGCTTCAATGTAGAATGTTTGATCATCTCATCTTTCCGAGAAACTAGCATTTATTGTTGGGAAGTTACCTCCTATAATTGTTTTTGGATATGTAGCAAGTCAGAGGGTCAATTTATGTGAATATGTTTTCAGGCATTTGCCTTGATTTTTTCTAACCGAATGTTGATATATCGATTTATTCTCAGTAAGGAAATTTAACTTTATGTTAATCCACTTCACCCTCTGAATTTTATTGTATTGTGATTTTTATCCATTTCTATGCATCATTTTCACTTAATCTTTTGGTCTTGTTAGACTTAAGCAATTTGAAACCTCTGTGATATCTGGTTTGTCTCACTTTTTAGAGATTCTTTCAGTTTGAACTTTTAATTTTGGGCTGTACAAATATAGTTTATTCTGGCCTCTAATTAGACTCTTTGGTCGCCCAAGCATCATGTTTATAGCTGAGTGCAGTTGTATCAGTTTAGATGTTAGCTAGAGTTAGTCTCTACTATTATGATCACCTGTATTTTGTTGTTTCTTTAGATTATACCTTAACGGTGCAGTGATAAAATGCATAAATGGCAGTGTTTTATGACTAATTGCTATTTTAATTGCATAGGCAGGCATGAGCTTTTGTTGGGGAATGCATTTTTAGCCAACAAAGAGTCACAACCTCCCAGCAAGGAGGTTCCTCCTCAGGTCAATAAGCTGTTTTTGGGTTCTACTATTTGAAGGAAAATCCCTGCAAAGAAAACCTTAATGCAGCTGCTATGGGATATTTTGGTTATCTGACCCTTTGTAACTTTACATTTTCTCCTGCTGTTCCTTGTAGGAATTCAATAATAAAGTTTTGGAAGGCTTTCAAGCTAGCCCACTTTGGCATCAAGGCTTTATTCTCGATGATGGAAGGTGCCTCCTCATATCGAACTCATAAGCATGATTTTATATTAACTCATTAGTTTTTCTCTACCGTCATATTTGCACTTTCTACAGAAAAAAGTAAAGCATTTATCTAGCTGTGAGTGTTTACTAAGCTTTTGTTTCAGAGTGTGAAGAAATGAAATATCCTTTTATTGATATCTTAAAAGAATTCATAGCGTTATTCCTTCATGAGAAGAAAGTGTAAAAAAAAATTATATTTGATGAGGTATTTATGCTCTCTTGTTGAAGTATTCCTCCTGCATGGTCATGGGTTCTCTCCCTTGTTTAATCATAGGCATAACTAACATACCATCAGAAGAGAAGTGTTTCCTCCATCAAGCTGCATTTACTATTTTTATTCAAAACTCTATGTTGTGATTTATGACTTTTATGTTAATCGAAATTATATTTGAGTAAAATGTTTCACTTACTATCAGTTATTTCAGCAATCTCTTTTTACTTGATTTGGATTTTAAGTGCAGGACACATTATGCAAACACTGTTAAAACTGCGCGTTGGGAGTACAGTACTTGTCTCGTCTATGGATCGGGTGATGTTGGGTCCAAGCAGAAGTCAACAGCTGGCTGGCTTGCAGCTTTTCCCATATTTGAACCCCACTGGTAAATTTGTATTGCTGGTGGACTTTCAACAGGCACTTGCTTGTCTCCTTCCTATTGTCAATTAAACTTTGAATTCTTTTCCACTTGTTTCTCTTTAGTCTGCATCTTTGCTCAGTGTGCTATATTGTTCACCATCTTTTCCTATCACCATGACTGGAATTTAATATCTTAAGAAATCCATTTTTTCTGCTGAGAATATTTTCTTAGTTATGACTTTGGGTTGCAGGATGGATAGAGTGGGATGGTGAAATGTTTGAGTTTCAAGATGCCCCTTCATACTCGGAAAAAAACTGGGGCGGAACCTTCCCTAGAAAATGGTTTTGGGTAAATCTCTATTCTTTCATGCCTCCCTGAATGCTTATCTAACTATTGATCATGTTGATGCAAGACAATTGGTTGCATTGGGTTTTCCATTGAATTAGGCTTAACCTTTTTTCTGTTAACCATGGTGTTGAGTTAATCGATCGGATGAATTGGCCAAGAGGGGGTGAATTGACAATAAAAATTTCGGTGGAAGCTTTTGCAGAAAATTAAAAATATTTGCACATCGATTTAGAGTAGTTCGACTTTCTTAACCAAAATCTACGTCCACTACCTTAGCCATCCACACTAAGGATTTTCTACAAATTCACTAATTTATCTTTCTTTTGAGGACAAAGAGTAACGTTACAAATCCCTCAAGAATTATACCCCAAATTTTTTAGAACATTCTCTCCCAAAGAGAAAATTACAAATTCGCAAACTTTACAGAAAAATCTCACAAGATAGATTCTTTGCACAATTCTAGAACAATAAAAGAACACTCAAAGATGAATACAATTGAGCACAAAGTGTGTTCTTGAAAGCAAAATGAATATTGAATGAAAATAAGCTTGAATTTTTCAAACTTGAGGTTTGATGTTTTCTCTCTTGATTCTTTCTCAATTCTTGTTGATCAATGGCTTCAGAACTTATTTAAATACACATTGGATTAATTATGAACGTTGGGGATCATTGGTGAAGTCAATAGAGCCGTTATGGTGTGAATACCATTTAAAAAATCTGTTGGGAGCGTAGGGGTATCGGTACACCTTCAAGGGGTATCGGTACACCCAATGTAAAATTCAAATATTTCGACCGTTATTTGACTAAGTGTATCGGTACAATCTAGGAGTATCAGTACACTAATTACATTCAATGTTTCTCGGAGCCAATTGCACATGAGGGGTATCGGTACACTAGGCTATGTATCGGTACCCTTATTACATTCGAAATTCAAGAATATTTGTACATCCAAAGAGTGTATCGGTACACCCCTACTTAAAATATATTTTTGGCTCGATTAAGATTCAAAATACTTTGTAAAAATTATTTCAAAAATATTTTAAGTTTAAACATAATTTTACACTTAAGTAAGGATTAAAATTGACATTTAAAAACTTGGAGTAATATTTTTGATATTCGATTAATTTACTCGAATATTATTTTTGAAATCAAATATAAAATCTTAAAATTCATTTACACTTTATTTGTTATATCGAAAAATCAAAATATTTTCAACACATGGTGATCATTCATCATTGACATATTACTACAGGTTCAATGTACTGTCTTTGAAGGTGCAAGCGGAGAAGTTGCACTGACTGCTGGTGGTGGATTGAGGCAACTGCCTGGCCTGACAGAGACCTTTGAAGATGCTGCATTGGTACTTCAGTTTTATCAATTTTTATGTTTTCCTTGCATTTCTTGAGTCGGTTAATGATTGTTGTAGCTTGAAAATAAAATAGCAGCTATAGATTGGAAGGAAAGGAGAGGGAGGAAACACGTTTACAATGGTTTCTTTTATCGTAAATGTCCTGTTGGTTTTTCCACTTTAACCTAAGTTTCCTTTCTATGAAATCTGCTTGTCATTTTTTATGCAATCAGGAATCTTGGACATATATTTTAGGATGTTCCCAATGTTTATTGAAGCACGAGCTTCAGTGGGTCTTTTGTTATTTCCTATGTCTAGAAAACTGATTCTGAAGTGTTATTATTGTTGTTATATTATCATGTTTCAAGATAACTCGTTCAAACCACATCCTTCTTTTCATGCGTCACTAATCATATATTGTGGTATCTGTATAAAACTTGTTAAGAATTGAATTGGATATTGTCACATTCCTTATGCCTTGTATTTGTACCATGAATTCCTAATTCAAATTTAAATGTACAATGATTCGGTAGATAAGATTTTCTATTTATTAAAAAGGCAAAATAGGTCCCTTTCCTCCTGAGAATTCCCGCCAAAAATATTCATTTATTATTCATTATATGGTTCTTATATGATATGAGACCAAAAAGAGGAAATGGAAGGATAATTTTTGTATATCAATAGATGAAAGTAAGGGTGGAAAACAAGACAGGGATTCTCTACAATGACATTGTAGGCCAATTGAAAGGGATGTAGCGTAGGTTGGTAGCGCGTTTGTTTTGGGTTCAAATGTCACGGGTTCAAATCCCGTCTTCCCTACCTATTACTTCTCCTTTGAGCAGTAACAAGGGTTTCATTTTAGATTGAAAATTAAGCATACATAATCTATCCTTTTCTCATATTATATATGATATATGATAGTATAGACGTGTGCGCTGTTTGGGGGTTATATTTTTGGTTTCAAACTACTAGTTTCTATAGCCTGACATATGAACGGACCTTTTACTGCTTATGCAGATTGGAGTGCATTATGATGGGGTTTTCTATGAGTTTGTGCCATGGAATGGTGTTCTATCTTGGGAAATTGCTCACTGGGGTTACTGGTAGTCTGGTACATTGCTGGGGAGAACGAGGCACAGATGGTAATATTTTACTGCTGTTGGTGATGTTTCCTTTCATCCTTTTGCTAAAGAGTTTTTATACCAAAAATATGAACTTTGCAAATATAATATATATGGACATTTAGACCTTGTGGATTATTAAAGCTTACAAATAGATTATGCTAGGGTCTAAATGATTGTAAAACTATTGTCCTGGCTAATAGTGTTATCAATGAATTTGGTTCCTACGTGCTCCGACAAAAGAGGCCGGCCTTGCTCCTGCTTGTAATGACGCTTGTTTTGGTAATCTAAGTTTGAATATCTGGAGAAAAAAACATGGTGGCACTAGGGGGAAGGTATGTTTTGTTACTTTCTTGGCAGTTATGCACTTACCTGTTCATAGAAACAAGAGGTTCTGTGATCCAATAGTTTTCTATTTTTAAGGATTCTGTTGGTATTTACTTTTGTTCTATCCTATACCTTTGGTTGCTACCCTCTATGTTATATTGCTATCGTCTTCGGAAGTTTCTTTCAATAGATTTTCATTGAAATGAATATGTTCAAATCTGTTCTTACCTTGTTAACAGCATAATGAGTTCCGGTAGGAAAAAAATAAGTTATATAATATACTAACACACGTAATCTTTTCAATATGCAGCTAATCTTGGATGTTACAAGTGACATGGCAGCACTAGAAGTGGGAGGCGGGGCATGGTTCAATACTTGGAGAGGGAAGACCACAACTCCAAAGGTCCTTAAAACTGCCCTTCAAGTTCCTGTTGACGTGGAAGGTATTTTTGGTTTGGCGCCATTTTTCAAACCCCCTGGACTATGATAATAGATTGATCTCTGATTATACTCGTTAGCAGAACGACATATTCCCTTTGGTGTTCATACCTTGAAGACAAAGTCCTATAATATGAAAACTAAACTACTACATTAATTATTTTATATCTTACATTAAATCGGGTTTACATTAAATTGGGTTGGGAGTTTCGTCTCTATAATGAATTTCTGCAATATTCGATTTGGATTAGATTGGATACTTCTGCAATATTCGATTTGGATTAGATTGGTTATTGGTGGTTAAACAAAAAAAATATAACATATATCAATCTTAAGATGCAGCCTATAAATCTGTAACCGTAGCCAATTATCCATGGATGTATGTTGATTTCAACAAATGCCAAAATGCGAATCTAATGGTGAAATTGTACAAGCAATCCTCCATTTTTTTTCTTCAACGTAAATTGTTCTTCCTCTGTGTAAACCGTAACCAGATATGATTATAATATGGCATCCATCCATTAATGAGAATCTAAATCTTTGGAAAAGAAAACTGAGCACTTGATTTTAAATAGCCCCACCCACCAAAGCAATTCGAAAAAGACTACTATGACACCCATGTTTCACGCTGGGCTAATTAATCTACATTTATAGTAAATTATAATAATCCTTGGAAAATTGACGCAGTTTTAACGATAAAAAGTGTTATTTTTATTGAAGATTTTGAGGTTTGAAATGATGTATAGATATCATTAATACATTTTTATTTAAAAATATAATTAATATTGTCTTAAAATCAATTGATATCATAATCCAAATTTTGACATTCAATTATGTCATGAACTTCTCGTAGAAGCATTTTCCATCGGATTTTCTTTGGTTTTGACTTCCAAACTTTCTAAATCTTCTGTCTTGTTAAACATATAATTTAAAAACGATACCAGTATTTCACATTTATTACTTTTTTATACTGAAATAAGATTATATCATATTTGAATATGGCGGCAGCAAATTTTTAGCAGTAATTTACATCTATTCCATTATAAGAAACTAAAAATCATGCATTGTCTGACGATCTTCTTTCGCGGATGCCCCATCCAGAGCCTCTTCTCCTTGGCAAGGACCATAAGCCCTGCTGCAAGCCAAAAAAATATATAAAATTAATAACACTCCAGGCAGCCAGAATCCAATAATAGTAATCGTAATGGCCCTTGTTAATATTGCTCGAAATCCATCTTTCCCCTCTTCTTTTAGTTGCACCATCAACTGCACTCGTTACGAAACTTCCGCCACACTTCCTGCAGATGCTCCTAATGATTGAAGATTGGCTGCAACACTTGACATGGTTTTAGGTAATTCAGAGTAAAAGAATTCCGCCTGTCCAATTCCACTGAAACTGAAGCCAAGCCACCCAATATACAATATGGCAGAATCCATAGTGCAGACATTTGCATACGGCTTCCGTTTTATCCGAGAGTTCGTGTTATTGCTCAAGTAGAAAAGAGAATTATCGAGAAAAAATGTTTCAAAAGAGAAGAAAGGGATTCAGAGAAATTGATATTTCATTCATTCATTTCATGCCTCTCTTTTCTTAGTACAGTGTATTATTCATTCAAAATGTACCAAACAAAGAATGAAGTTGTCAGTCCTTTCTAACGGTTGCAATCTTTGGTGCAGGTGCCAAGGAATTTTCCACTCTGTTGGGCTACTGCTTGTATCAGCCCAAAACTTATCTCATCTGCCCCCATTTCATCAGCAAGTAAAATATCATCTTTTTTAATGATCACGCCAACATCATATGTTCTCATTCCCCCAATTCATCATTCAAAATCCCTAATCCATTCCCATCTTTTTCAATCTCCCCGAATTTCCCAATTCATTCTCTTCGTGATTTTCTCGTTCTTCTCGCCCAACCATAACAATGCCCCCTCCATGAGACGATCCTTGTCCCTAAGGATCAAACTGAGGAAATTAACTTCGGAGGACCGTGTAATCTTCCCAAGTGTCGTGGCTAGAATCCATATTCATCCAACGAACCAAGAGCCGAGTCACAAGTTTGTTCTGCCGATTTACTTTGCGTTTGCCCATGATTGTTTATGGATAAACATATATCTGACCACTATCTTCTTCTACTGTTGGAGGTGTCGTGGAGACGATAGCAGATTCCCATACTCTTTTCTTTAACAAACGAACATGGAATACAGGGTGAAGTCTCGATTCTGCTGATAAGTCGAGTTTATAAGCAACTTTGCCTATTTTTGCAATCACTTTGAATGGCCCATAAAATTTTGCTGCCAATTTCAAATTTTTACGAAGTGCTAAGGAAGATTGACGGTATGGCTGCAATTTTAGGTGAACCTCGTCCCTAATTTAAAATTCATCCTCGATTCGATGCTTATCTTGTTGCTGCTTTATTCGATTTTGAGCTTGTTGCAACTACTCCTTAATAAGTTGCCTGAGTTGATCTCTGTCCTTAAGCATCTCATTCACACCGTGCACAATATATTACGTTTTCCATGCTAGGATCGAGGGCTTGTAACCATACAAAGCCTCAAAGGGGGTTAGTTTTAAAGTCGTGTGGTATGTGTTATTGTACCACTATTCAGCATGGGATAACCATTTAGCCCAGTGATCTGGTTTAAGAAAATAGAGGCCTCGAAGAAATTGTTCTAAGCATTAGTTAACCTGTTCGGTTTGTCAGTCTGTCTAGGGATGGTAGGCCGTATTGTAGAACATAGAGGTACCCAACTGATTCATCAAGTCATGCCAAAATAAACTAGTGAATGTCTTATCCTGGTCTGAGATGGCCATATTCGGTTGGCCATGTAATTTATAAGCGTGATCTAGATATAAACGAGCCACTTCCATAGCTGTATAGGGATGAGATAAGGGTAAAAAATTGGTGTATCTTGTGAACTTGTCGACCATGAACAAAATGCAGACCCATCTATAAAGTCCATTGTGATGATCTCCCAAGCCTGATTAGGAACTGGTAGAGGATGTAGCAGACCGGGTTTAGGAATGTGCTCGACCTTTATATGTTGGCAAGTATCACATTTTCGAACGTAGAGAGCAACCATTTTTTTAAGGCCAGACCAGTAGAAGTGAGCTTTAATTCTTTGATACGTCGCTTGAACCCCGAATAACCTCCTTGGGGAGAGTCATGTAAGTTGCTTAGAATTTGTAAGCGTAGATCACCTTTGGAGCAACATACACTCGACTTTGGAAACGTAGAATTCCCCCTGAATACTTCCAATTATTGTATGTAGATGCATGGATAAGACACAAATCCATTTCTTTGCTAATAAATCATCTTCATAAGTACCTTCAATTTCGTTGACCCAGCTAGGAACAATAGAAAATGCCCCTATATAATTGTGCTAAGCAAAATTCTTAAATCGCCTTGAAAATGTATCGACCACTGTGTTATTCTTCCCTTTTCTGTATTGAATAATATAATATAGCACAAGTAATTTAGTCAAACCCCTTTTTTGGATCGTAGTCGTCAATTTTTGCTCCAACAAATATTTTAGTGGCTCGTGATCCATTTTTATGACAAACTGATTTCCCTCCAAGTAGTGCTTCCATTTCGAAACCGCCATTAAAATAACAATGTATGCTTTCTCATAAATTGTAAGATCCACATGTTTTGAACCAAGAGCTTTGCTTAGGTAAGCAATTGGTCGACCTTCTTGTGACGATACAACTCCCACTCCTCTCGAACTTGCATCCGTCTCCAAGTAGAATTGTTTGGAGGAATCAGGTAAATTTAAAATTGGTGTTGCATACATGGCTGCTTTAAGTGATTCGAAAGCTTGCTTAGCCTCAAGGGACGAAGAAAAGTTATCTTTCTTCAACAAATAAGGGAGGGGCCTGCTGATTTCACCATAACCACGAATAAAACTTCTATAATAGCCAATAAGACCCTTAAAACCATGAAGGGATTTCAAACTCTTAGGTAGTGGCCAATTATGTCGCTTTGATCTTCGATGAGTTTGTAGAGACACCAACAATGGAAATGATATGCCCGAGATACTCAATTTGTTGTTTCCCGAAAAAACACTTTGATATCTTCGCATAAAGCTTATTGTCTTGTAGAATTTGGAAAACAATCTTCAAGTGCTGGACATGGTCTTGTAAAGAGCATTATACACTAGGATGTCATTAAAAACACTAGAAAAAACTTACGAAGGTAAGGGTTAAAGAGATCGTTCATAAGTGACTGAAATATGGTATGAGCATTGGTAAGTCTGAAGTACATTACCTTAAACTTGAAGTGATTGTGATGAGTCTGAAATGTTGTCTTGTGAATGTCTTGTGGTTGGATACGGATTTTCCAATAGCCCGAGTGTGAGTCTATTTTGGAAGAAAAAAAATTGCCCTATGTAATTCATCCAAAAGGTCTCAACAACTGGAATTAGGAATTTATTTTTGATAGTTTGCATGTTTTGTTGTATGTATTCAATAAAAAAGCGCCAAGAACCATCTTTTTTCTTGACCAACAAACAGGGAGAAGCAAACGGACTTTTGCTTGCTTGAATTATAGAGGAAGACAACATCTGAGTGATCTATTTTTCCACCTCAACTTTCTGATGATGCGTGAAGAGATAGTGTCGTAAATTGACTGGAAGAGAGACTGGTATGAGAGTGATTCGATAGTCATGAGCCTTGATAGGAGGCAGACCCGTAGGCTCATCAAAGATATTGTCAAACTCTTGTAATAAAGGCTTTAACTCACTGAGAACTGTTGAGGCAACAGGGTCCACATCGACTGTATATAATTCGTCCATTAAAGAAGATTATTTTGCAGTCATTTTTTGCATTTTGTTTCCTGTTATCAATTTCCAATTACCCATCGTAGCCTGACCTTGTATAATCATCAGTTTGACATCCTTTTAAAAGCTCAAAGTCATGTCTTTAAAGTCCATAAGAATTGGACTAAATTGTTTCATCCAATCAACACCAAACACCATATCACTCCCACCAAGTTGTAGGATTCAAAAGTCATGATTAAAATGGAATCCTTGCATTGTCCAAGA